ACTTTAAAATAGTACAGGACTTTTTGATTCAGTATAGGCTGTTCTACCCACGTATGACAAAAAATGCGGTAGTCGCCAAACACCCTGTATAATGTTAAAAACAAAAAATTATTCTCGTGGAAATGCTATCACAAAAGTGCGATCACAGACCATACATTTATAATCTACGTATTGAAGTATTAAAGATGGTAACGTTGGATAAAAAGAAAACATAGTTAATATCATACGTAAAAACAATATTTTGAAAAAGAAATTATAAAATATAATATGAAATATAATGATTCCTGAATATCACATGTATGAGAGACTGTAAATAATAATAAAATAAAAGAAATATGCAATATTTAAAAGTAATAAGTAAAGCTAACATTACTAATTTATATTACTTAGAATATAAATTTGCGCTATTATGCAATTCCAAATGTCTCTCATCTACTTTAAAAGTACGGCAATCTATGTTTCTCGCTTGAAACGTTGATCGAATTTTGCATACGGCGTTAAGAGTATCGATGTTCATTCGGTTCCTCTTTTTAACCTTTACATCCGTGACAATCGAAAATATTCGTTCAGCTTCAGCGTTTGAATGGAGAAGAGAAAAAATTGCATGTACTAATTTTTTTAAATTCGGAAACATTGGTTGTTTATCATCAATTTTGGTTTCAAAAATTTTATTCCACATATTCTATAAATTTAAATTGACCAAAACATCTTTATCCGCGTCGCTAAATATAGTTGGTAATATTCTCCATTCAAAGGCTGAAGTTGTAATATCGAAAGTTCCAAAATGTTTAGCGACGTGAGTGAGGTCTGGAACCACACTTCTTGCTTTATCACCTAAAGCTATTTCAAAATTTAAGAAGTTAAAACTTTGAAAAAGTGCATCATTATATGATAATCGTTGTATTATTTCTTGTATGGCCGTAACATAAAAATCGAAACATTTTAATTTAAAATGTTGCGTTATAATTTTAAATATCCACGTTTTACTTTTACTTTTTCTTATATTCGTAATATTTTTGGTCATCATGTTTGTCAAGTTTTGAAAGAAGCTTGTAAATTAGTTAAACTAAATGTGAATATCAGAACACGTATTAGATTTTTGAATAATTGTCTTAGATTTAATTTGGTACCACCACATTTAAGAGGTTATTATAAGATTAATAATGTTTCATTATACAATAGAACATATTACAATAAATTGAGAAAAATACAACTTAAGAATGTAAAATCTATTTTGCATTTAGAGATTAAAGACTCGTACAGTTTTTTGGAATTTACTAGAAATAATATTTTTGATATTTATTTAAAGATATGTAACATGTTGCCAATTTCCATAGCTTGTGAATTTTTCAAATATTTAGATTACATTAACAGTTCTAGTTTTTACTCACACACAACGAAAATTGACAAAAAGTTTCAGTGGTTGAAGGACAAAGAACAAAAAACTCTCAAATCTTTCATTAAACCGATTTCTTATGTGTGTTCTTTCGATAATGACTCTAGAATTAGTACTGTGTCGAATGAATTTCCGATTGATGATTCTGGTCTTGTTGTTGAGAGGATAAACATTTCTGCGAAAGATTTTGGAGATGCGGTTCCTTTAGGCACTTTAAATGAAAAATGGTTCCTGAATTTGAGTGGCATTCACATTCCTGAGGAAGTTAGATACTTCCTGTTACAATTGGAAGAAGGCTTTGGACTTCCCATTGACAGAAATAATTTGCAGCATACGTTTATAGAATTCATAAAAAGCATTGAAAGTAACATTATCAATCGTCCTAATAATGTAATTAATGTAATAAGAAATAATACAATGCCAATTCTTGAGAAATTTCATAATGACTTTCCAAAAAGTGACTCCAACACCAAGTTATTATCTAGTTGGACAATATCTACAAAAAAATTTATTAAAGAGCATCCAGAATTGTTATTTTCAAAGGCTGATAAGGGAAATGTGACTGTTGCTCTTAACAGGGACGATTATGTCAATAAAATGGAATTGATGCTTTCGGATGAAAATACTTATGAGATAATTAGTAAAGATCCTACTCGTAAAATTATTAATGATTCACGTAATATTTTAGTCAGATGGAAAAACAAAGGTTTTATAGATAACATTACTTATAAGAATTTACTTAGCACTGACGGCAGTATTTCGAGAGCTTACGGGTTGACCAAGATTCACAAAACTAATTATCCTCTGAGAATTATAGTCTCATCCGTTAATAGTCCGTTATATAATTTATCATTATACTTACACAAAATTATCAATAATTCTATACAAAAATCTCCAAGTTATATTAGGAATAGTGTTGATTTAATTGATAAATTAAAAAATATTAAGCTTGAATCTAATTCGATTTTGGTTTCACTGGATGTTGTTTCCTTGTTCACTAATATACCTATGGATTTGGCAACTAATAGTGTTGTTAGGAGATGGGAGTTTATATCCAGTGAGACAAAAATTACATTGGAGGAATTTATGATAGCTTTTCGATTGGTACTGAACTCGACAGTGTTTATTTTTAACGGTAAATATTACAAACAAATTTTTGGAACTCCTATGGGATCTCCATTATCACCTATTGTTGCAGACATGGTTATGCAAGATTTAGAGGAAACTGCACTTAGATTATTGCCGGTTAGGTTATCTTTTTATTACCATTACGTGGATGATGTTATTTTGGCGGCCCCATCTGAGAGCATCAATGACATATTGTATGTTTTTAACTCATTGCATACAAGATTACAGTTCACTATGGAAGTTGGCATTGATGGAAAAATAAGTTTTTTAGACACTTTGATTATTGTCGAGGATTGTAAGTTAATATTTGATGACTACCGTAAGGCTACTTTTTCTGGCAGATTCCTGAATTTCCATTCCCAACATCCGATCTGTCATAAGAGAGGGGTTATATATGGTGTCATAGATAAAATAGTTCGCTTATGCCACCCAATTTTTCAACACAAGAATTTAATCGATGCTGTTAATATTTTTTTAAATAATGGATACCCTCTTCAATTTATTTTTTCTACAATCCGGAATAGATTAAAATACCATTTTAATAATATTCATGTGAACAATAATAAATTTGGTTTGGAAAAATTTTTTGCTGTTCCGTTTGTTGATTCTGTTTCGGAGAAATTTAAACCTATAGCTAATGTTGTTGATTGCAAATTGGCATACACCATTCCCAATACACTTAAGGAATACATAAAAAGGGGAAAGGATAAATTGGAGCATACACAGAACCAAAATGTAGTTATAAAATATCTTGTGAAAATTGCGAAGCAAGTTATGTAGGCCAAACAAAGAGACAATTAAAAACAAGAGTACATGAACATGTTTCTGACATTAACAAATCATCAAAATCTCCATCTGTAATAACGAATCACAGAATTGAAACGAATCACGATTTTAAGTGGAATAGCGTGAAAATATTAGATATAGAACCTTCGTATAGAAAAAGATTAATTTCTGAGATGGTTCACAGTAAGAAACAAACACAAGGTATAAACAGACAAACAGATACAGAGTCATTGCCTGACACATATATTAACATGATACATTCCCTTTCCATTTCTTAGTATTGTCACGATTTCTTGTCCTCTCCTGACATTCTGCCATTACATTACATTGTTCGACTTGATCAAGAGTGTGTGATCACGTATATCGGTGCAAAATATTTTATAGTTGTAACATTTATGACAAGGAAGATTTATAGCACATTAATGGATTTTATTTTTACTGACACATTTGCAGAATTTTTATATTTACTGACACATATTTTGATTTTTACATTTCACTGACATATTATTGTGTAATTATTCTTCACCGACAAGGTAAATGACTTTATGTTATTTTATTATAGACAATATTCTTTATGTATAACCTGAGGTTTCAAATGTATAATTATTCTTTCTTAGATATGAATTTATTCGCAACTTAAATCAATTTCTAATGGACAACTTGCGCTTTTTATGTCAACGACAAGATTACGCGTGCGATTTTATGTAATGTTTTATTTAATCATATTTATTTCCATTTAAGAGATTATAATTGTGAGTGAGGTTTGGAACCACACTTCTTGCTTTAGCACCTAAAGCTATTTCAAAATTTAAGAAGTTAAAACTTTGAAAAAGTGCATCATTATATGGTAATCGTTTTATTATTTCTTGTATGGCCGTAACATAAAAATCTAAACATTTTAATTTAACTTCCTGTACAAATTCAGAAGAATGATTTAATAGGAATTGTTCGCATTCGGGACCAAGATATATTTTACTAATAGGTAAAAAATTTCGTGACTCGACAATATCTGCAGAAATATTGTTCAAAGTTTCAGATGTTAAAAAATTATATCCTATTTGCTCTATTAACTGCTGACTACTTTGTGACAATTTATGAATTAAAATGTCTCTAGATTGAAATAAAGCATTAAACTGATTTAAAAAATGTAAAATGTACTTTAAAAATAACATATAAGCTTTAATATGATCGTTTTCTAAAAGGCTAAGAATTTCTTGAGCAGATTTATTTTTTGTTTCAAATACTTCCAGGTAGAAGTAATGTTTGAAGACTTCCCAATTCTCAAGAACTCTTGTAACACACTTCTGTAAGACGAGCCATCTTGTACCTGATAATTTTAATACCTTACGTGATTCTACTCCAAAGAATGTTTGATATTCACACAAAATAGCAGATCTTTTTGGACTGTTGGAGATGTACGTAGCAATTAAATGTAACACACGTTCACAAGATTCCGGCAATTTTGAACACGCTTTACTAGCAATCAACGCTGAGGAATGACATATACATTTAAGTAAAATGAGAGCCGGTACCTCGTTTTTTAAGCGAGTAACAAAGGAGTCATGAATTCCAACCATAACTGAAGCGTTATCACAAGCTAGTCCTATAATATTTTGTAAGTGAATTCTTTTTGAATGTAAACTATTTTTAAATGCGTTATATACTTTATCAGCTGAACAATCTCTTGCATCTAATTGTAATAAATCTAATAATTCTGTTATGACTTTCTTTTCTTTAAAGTGAAAATATAAAGTGAAAATTTAACAAGTATACAAAGTACTTTATCATTACTGATAGTAGTAGTTTCGTCAAGTAAAATTGAAAATTTTTGTTTTCTTAAAAATTCTATGGTTGTTTCACTTTCGCGCTTGTCAATTACATTCTTAATAATTTGTGTACATTTTCTCCTTGACAGTGAAAAATCGTTGACTACTCTTGGCTTACTAAAAATTTCTTTTATTAACCTTATGGAAAAATTTCTTTTATTAACCTTTAGGAACCATATGATCTAAAGTTCTCAAAGCTATGTTATGTTCCGCATAAAGAGCTGATAATTTAATTTCTGCTATTTTTACATCTTTTTTATGATCTTTCGAAACAATTTCTTTTGTCAGCAGTGGAACAAATGGATTAGCAAGATCTTTTTCTTTTTTTAAATTTAAAATATGGTGCTTTCGATTCGCATGCTTTCTTAATTTTGACATACCACATACAAGAACTGTTTTGCATGCAGTACAGAAAGCTTTTCCATTGTCCGGATGTGATGTTAACCAATCTTTAAATTCTTCAATAAGTAGCTAAGAATGTTGAAAAACTTTTACCTTGCATTTTGATTTGGATGCCTTTGAGCCGCTGCTGGTCGATGGTTGATCATGCTCATTTTTTACTTTCATAAATACTAGAAATGTTAATAATATTTAGGACATAAATTAATTGATAATACAACATTTAGATCCTACAAAATAATATTTACCTTTATTTGATAGTTAAACAATAAATGATACTAATAAAATACTTAATAAGAATTAGGGCCTGAGCAGAATAGCTGACTCATAATTTTAAGACAATGTCTAATGACCTAAGTCTTTTGTCTTTAGTAATGTACTATAACTGTTTTATATGATTCAAGTCTTATGCAAGATCTATAATAGAAGTCTTAGACGGTCGTAAGGTCTTAAGTCATAGAAAATGGATCATAGTCGAATATATGAAAATAATTGACTATGATTAGTCAATTTCCTACGACTTAAAACTTTACGACCGCCTACGACTTGTGTTGTAGACCTTGCACACACATTAAAGATTTATATATATAATTTTAAAACTTAAGTCATAATACTGTTATTGTGCATTACAAATAAAAAACAAATGACTTAGGTCATTAGACATTGTCTTAAGATTATAAGATTCTTAGGCCCGATTACACCAACGTTACTTTAATTGTAAGCAAGGCTTAAAACTCTCTTTGTCCCTGTCTCTTTTCGATTTTAAAACGAGACAGAGAGAGTTTTAAATTTCGTTTAAAATCAAAGTAACGTTGGTGCAACCGGGCCTTATTCTGCTAAAACTCCTGATATGTACATTGTATAAAACGAACGTATTGTAACGTTGTATTATGATCTATTAGTAAAAAATAATAAAATATATACAAAAAAATAATTATTCTCCTAAATGTATGACTATATATGTGCGATGTATGATTAAATTAAATAAAAGAACTTCTATATTCGGTTAAAATGGATTTTAGTGCTTAAATACATATATTCCTATGTGAATTTATATATACATCTGATTCTGAATACCGAACGCCAAAATTTTTACTGGTCTTAAAACGCATCATAAGCAGAACTAGAATAACAATATCACTTATTTAATTGTGCAAGCAATTTAATACTCTTTGGTAATAGGTATTTTTTAGAATATTAACAATCGGAACGAAAATTTAAAAACTGAATAATTTATTGCGAAAAGTATTGTCTATCTATTATTAATATCTATATTATGATCTGTTATTAGTACCACTTGAGAATTCATATTTATTATATAGTGTATCGCTTACAATATACCTATAATCTAAGTAATATATTATTATATTAGCTGTGTGCAAAAATTTACTGCCACTACTGAAAATCTATAGTGCACGTAACGTAACCTGTAGCATTTTCAGCGGCAATAAATTCGAAACACAGTCATCATTATAATATCTTAATTCTTACTTCCTTTTAAAAAACGACTTAAAGAAGTCTTATGTCACAATTTTAGAGTTTGTGTTGTTTGGGTAATGATTTTCTTAAAAATAAAATAATTTGTAAATGAAATAAATTCAAAAGTTTTTAGTGTAAATTCACAGTTTTTATTCTAAAGAAGAGAAGAATCCAATATTTAAAAAAATCATAGAGAATAAAAAAAATTATCATATGTGATAAAATTTGAGGTTATAAAATATTAATTTGTAGAAAAATAATGTAAACTCATTATTATACTTACAATTCTATGAAATTCTTTTCTTGTACATCCAAACATTATTACTTCATTAATAGTAAGTTCTGTCCGCACTCCGCACACGCCGATAATAGGTTTGTTCGCGTCGCAAGCTCCAACATGCTCCTACGTGCTCCTACCATAGTTCCTACTCACTCTATCAAGCGTGTTGGATTGGAATAAGAGCTATAATAGGAACATATTGAAACATGGAGCATGCGACGCGAACACATTCGAAATTCGTTATAAAGTCTCAGACTATTTAAAATGCTGAGTCATACAGTGTTTGTTATAATAAAGTTTTAAGGAATACTTTACTATAAAACTAATTATTTATTCTTAGTTCGCTTGAAATATTAATTTCTCTTATCTCTTAAAATAAATCTCTTAAAATAAATCTTCCGAAGAATAAAATACATTTTGATTCATTTACATTCTACATATCTCATTTGGGAGGGCTCCGATTGCACACATCGTATATTGCACACATGTATCGCTGATTAGCCAATTTAAAAATAAAATAATCTC